TCGGTCCCTAATATTGGCCGGCAAACATCCATATTGGTCGGGATTTAATTATTACTACCTAATACTTTTACACTGTTGTGATAATGGTGAGTTTATAATGTTGATCTGGTGCAGCTAAACCACTTCTCTGTTTTACTTTTAGTTTGAGTAAATGTTGTTTTCTTGGTTAAATTATTACTCAGCATCTATTCAGTTAACACATATAAGGCACACGTGTGTCCCCAACATGCCTTAGTAAGTGTTCATTTCTATGTGACCTTATGAGTTGAGTCTGATGGACGAATGCCTGCATGATGACACGTCTGTGTCCTTCACACAATCATCTTTCCTGTGCACTAACTTTATCAAGAACTCATCTCACCAATGCTCTGAAATTTAAATTAATCGACCGGTACTCTCGTGTGATTTTCTTCTTTTCTACTTTTCATTTTGCAGTAAATCTATCAAGCCAAGTGACCATAAGGATGTCCGTCTGTGAGAGTCTGTGCTGCGGTGTTCTTCACTCTCTAATCATGATCCCAATCATGTCAGTGCTAAAATGCAACATGTCCAACAGTATTTGCCAAGTTCTTTGTTTTTGAGTGCCAAAACAAAACATTGTCATACATTGTGACTGCCCACAGTGTGACACGTCACATCCGCTGCCCACTGCAGTTCCTGTCTTCCAACAATATTCACCACTATAATGACTTAACCTGAGGAAAATCAAGATGGGTGTTTCGCTGATTACCTTTTACCTGTGTTTCCCTGACTGAGCACTTTTTGTTTTACTTGCTCTTAGGCGATTCCTCTTTCTTTCTAAAGTCATACTAATTGTTTTCTAAGTATTATGCAATGTTTTACTGTATGTGCACGTTTATCTGCCTGGTTCCTGATAACATTTTCAAGTGAATCAGAATATTTTTTTATCCATATTAGTTTCATAAAAATAAAACCAGAGATTATGTGGTAAATTTTTTTTTTAAAGCAGCATTTTTTTTACCGAGTGCTTGAACTCATATGAGACAAATTAATTTTTCTGCCTTAGTTTCTTTCCTTTTGGCCTTAGATTCCTGGGTGCCTTTCTGGCAACCCAAAGAAATTGGGAAGACGTCTGATACATTGTTTTCAACATAATTTATATGATCTTGCAGATATGGAGCTTCAAATTCAGGGTCTGAACTTAATTTTGTATAACTGGTTCTCCTCTGTAAACATGGAAGAGCTGTTAAAAATTCAAGAATGCTTGTTATGACTGAAGAAGAGTATTAATGCAAAGCTTATTTAAAGATTTCTAAGTTAAGGTCAGATGTTAATAGTACTCATAAACGTATTCATGAAGGAGAGTCTCTAATGTAATTGTTTTAATACAATTTTTGTAAACTGTTATAAAAGAATCCATTGTCTACAAACAAATACGCCTGCGGTGCCATATTGTATAAGTGCAATTTGCATTGCAAAAAATATATATATATTTTACACATTGTTGCTCACATTCTTGTCCTAATTGATTTTTATGTTTTAATATAACTGCAATTGTATTTATTTGACACTGCTCAGACTACAGGATGTCATCATCCTTTTTGGTTCAAAAGGGAGTTTGAGTGGACGTGTCTGGTCAGAGTTTCAAGACTAAAACTGTGGATAAACACTTGCAAAATTCATGACTGCTGTCGACTTTCTCTGCCTCCAGTTTCGGCTGGTGAAGAAATAAATCTGACCTTCACAACTCTGACGTCTCTGTTTTTCAATTTAACATAATTTAGATACTAGTCCATAGTAATTTTACAATAGAGCTGTATTCTTTCTTTATAGAATAATCAAAGCCTATAAGAATTTCAAAAATATACATCTTTAACACACACAAACTGATGATGGTTAACTTGTCCATAGCCTATAATTATCTCTACTTAGAAGGTTATGTTTTCATCAGCATTTCATCAGATTAGGCAAAAACTGAACTGATTTCCATGATACTTGATGGAAGGATGTGACATCAGTCAGGGAAGAAGACTTTACATTTTCGGTGCAGACCTGGATCTGGAAGTGAGTCCAGGAATTTTTTGTTTGATTTTCATCATAGTGCATTTTTCAACAATTTTGTGAATTTCTCTGAGAATATATCTTGATTAAAAATATTTCACATGTATAGGGGACGGATATTTATGAGTGCATGCAGATACAAATAAAAATCCAGATGAAGTGAATTTAAATGTGGTTTCATTAGGGGGCTGTTGGAGCTTGGTAGAGAAGTATACTCTTCTGAGGGGCCATTCTAGACTGTGTATTCTGATCCTTAAAAAAAACAATTTATTCATATTGATTGATTTTCTTTTCTTTTGTTATTGTGAAGGCAAACATTACAAATTATACAGTTTAATATTATCATTGCATTGAAAAGCTTTTAACTTTTTTCATATATTTCAGTGGCAAAATACAAGATGTGTTATTGTACATATACTGTTGTATAATTCAAAATTATATAATGTAATAAACATTGACTAAATGTGAAATTACAACCTAACAGTAACGACATGCAATAATAAGTAACAAAATAGATTTTTAGTCATGAAGTTCATGCAAAGATGAATTTATAGTAGAAGATATTTTATTGGGACAAAAATGTGATATCTGCCCAATTAAATGAAATAAAACTGCTCTTCAGTTAAAATAAAAACGTATGCATATTATGAAATGATAAGTTCCACCACATCTGTATGCACTTACCTGACAAGGAGCCGTGATAATGAATTCAAACATCATTATCAGTGATCATCCAGTTTAAGTGTGAAATTGTTTTTCCGGTGAAAGGTTTTTTTTTTCTGAAGCTGTTGACGTACCCGGCAGCGCGCTGACGTCAGAGGGCGTGTCCACACAAAGGACAGAGGGAGTCCACAATGGGAGGTTGGTTCGTCTTTATCTCAACATGTTTAAAACCAAGCTGCTCTTGTTTGACCTCGTCTTTAAACTCACTTCACTTTAACCTCCTCCCGCTGGGGACACTCAGTGTCTGCGGGAGCGACGAGCCGGATGTCCGCCTCGTCTTCATTCAGTCCTGTTGATTTCTGTGAGAAGTTTCCTGACTGAGTGTTTGGCAGCAGGAAGATTCTCCCTCAGTTTACTGTCAACGAACAAGTTCAGTGATCGTGGAGGGTTTGGTCCAGCCTCAGACCGTGTCCACGTGGCATTGTCTGTATTAATACACCTCCTGCTAAAGTGCCGTCTGTGTTTTTCCCCCGTGTGCAGACAGTTTCCACGCGCAGCTGCTGGAGGACAGCTCGTTCCTCAGATCTGACCTCAGGCTGGACACTGAGCGGGTGGACAAACTCATCCTGCAGCTCAACAGGATCTACCCCCAGATCCTCACTGACAAAGAGGCCACCAGAGTAAGTCTGCCCTCCAGACCAGAGAGGCTCAAGGGCCCAGAAGTTACACTGCTGCGTGAAATAACAGCTCCACTACTGCAAACTACTTTTACAAAAGGTCCTTTGTGTCTTTGTTTGGAGTAAAAGTACCCTACTCCTCAATGTAAGAAGAAATAACTCTTTATTATTATAACAGTTGCAGTCTAAAAATGGAAATCAGTAAAAGTAACAATTGGTAAACATCCAATGTAAATATAAATAATGTACACAGTGTAATCAGAATATATAGATTGTGACCAGTAATTATTATTACTGGAGTAATAACTTGCAAGCAGCATGTAATAGTTAAACTGTATTTATGTGGCAGTTCAATCAGTAATTAATCCTACATAGGTGCTGCATCAAATACAAACTACAATGACTCTCAGTAGAACACAAACCTCCATGAAGGCCCAACCATCCCCTCATGAAACCACAGTTAAATTACTTGATCTGGAGTTTAGGTTAAATCAGCACCAATTCGCTCTCACTTATAAATATCAGTCCCCTACAGATGCCCGATTTATTTCATGAAGATCCATGAATTATTCTTTGAGAGATTGACAGAAATGTTGAAAACTGCTCCATCTTGCAGTGTTAAGAGAAAGTTGGGGGAAAAAACCTGGATGCGCCCCCTGATCCTGATCTCCATCAAGATTTAATGAGGCTAAACCCATTAACTCTTGGACACAGACTGAGGACTCAAGAGGAGCCAGGATTGTGAAAATGTTGAAACACATTTTTATCTCTCTAGCCTGGCTCTTGATTAACTCTGGATTATAGACATTATATCCTTGCAGCCATGTTAATATTATTAGCATGTTTTTATCCCCTTCATTGACATTTCTATATATTATTTTGCATTGTTTTTATTGTTATTTGAGCTATTGAATCTATTTTATGGTATTTCATAATCAACACTTTGATTTGTTTGGTCCTATTGTTGGCTCATCAGTCAGTTGAACTGCACTAAACTGTATAAAAAGTGTTATGAAATAACATTTTGATTGATAGATGTTCAACGCTGCATTGTCTAAAAAGACTAAAGTTAAAAATCAAATGGAGATGTTTGCTCTGAGTTCCCCGAGAGGACCTGGTGCAAGCTCCTGTGTCAGTAAGCACCCGAGCATGTTTGGATCAAAAACAGCCTCTAAGAATAATCACTGTTATTTTTATCCAGTTCCGAAACTTGGACGTGCCCACCAGTGTCAGACTGGGTGAGCTCCTGACAGACCTCCAGGGGAAAGGCGAGGAGGCCTGCAGGGAGTTTTACAGAGCCCTCCACCTGCATGTGGAGGAGTTGTACTACAGCCTGCCCACACGACTCCGACTGAGAGGTCGGTCCCTTAAATCATCATGCTAATATCATGTGTGATCTAACTGAGATACGTATCATCACCTAAATGTAAGGCTTCATTATTAATCTGTTCTGCCTCCAGATTCACTGGATCCACTTGCAAATCCACGAGTCTACCAACAGAGACATGATATGAACGACAGAGGTAAAGTCTGCAAGTACAAGAATGCACGTACTATATTTGATTACAGCAGATAAAAAATGACATTCACATTGTTTGGGGTTTAACTCTTTCCAGGTCCCCTCTTCTTTCTGGGCTGTTTCAGTGTTGCCGTGGGAATGGCTTTACTTTATTACTACAGTGGTGAGTTGCTTTTCAATTTCAATTTGATGATCAGTATGTTGTTGAAAATCTAATTGCACCCCATACTCTTAATGTAGCGTTATTAAGCAAGTTGTTTTTTTGTTCTGTAGAAGCTAAAGTGTCAGGAGGCAGTCGGGCCCTGGGGATGGCTGCTCTGGGTTTGAAAAAAAAAGCTCAGGAGGTTCTCATTTGGTACACGGAAGACAGCCGCATGATTTAGGAGGTGACTCCTTCTCTCCAGGTGCTTCAGCAGTTCTGCTCTAATGAATTACATTCACCAAAGCCTAGTACACTTTATTTTACTTTCATAAGTTTTATGCACAAATGTACAGATTGTTGTGTGACAGTCGGCACTTTGCTCTTCTTTCCGTCTATGTCTGTTTAAATAAGTTGTCAGAAAAAATGCAAGGAGAGGAATCCATTCATCACAACTTCCAGCTTCAAATGTGGTGTGAAGCAGACAGATATTTCACATTATGATTGTACTGGTGAAATAATCAGACATCAAACTAGTTTAATACTATTATAGTACATTTTACTCCATTAACATTTTACTCTTGTGTCACTACAAATAAGCCTCGGTGCATTCTGGTCTTGTGACTGAGACCAGACTTTTTTCCAGTGTGGTCGCCATCTTGTGGTCAGATGAGGAGCTTACAGTAAAGAGCTCGTCGCCGCCCCGCTGTTAGTCTCTCTTCATTCACAAAGTTAACAACACACACACACACAGAAACACCATCGAGCAGTGGGCGGATACATGGTTCGCGTGAATTCCTGTAAACTTCGCAGTCACGTGGGTCCCGCCAACCAATGACATCTCGCTCTGCCGTCGCAGTGCATTGTGGGTAGCGCGTCGAGCAAAAAAAACCACAATAAATCCGTCGAAACATTGTTATAATGAAAGTCTAAATATCCAGTAGTACGTAAAAGCAAACGTTATCCAGTTGTAGGTGACAGAATCAACGAGAAAAAAGCAGCACCATAAGTGAGGATAGCTTGTGTAACCCGTCTGTATAAGTAGTGCTGCGGTGCCCTGCAGTGAGTGTGTTGTATGAAAGGAGAGAAGGTTAGCACTCCCCTTGACAAGGATGGAAGAGGCCCCTGTGGCCTTCAACACACATACGGTTAAGGCACTGCCACCTACTTCGTGGCATCTCTAACCAAGTTTTTTTTTTATCTCTCTTCCTCTCTGGCCACTGACATGTTGAACTGACGTCCCACTGTGTTACATTTTAACTGCACGGGTTCACTCCAGCCAAACCTGCCGTTCTCACCCCGTCCTTTTAAAACAGGAAATTGTTTCCCCCTGTCTGTGTTTCCGCTGCGTCAGCTCAGGAGGTAAACTGGTCTTTTTGTCCGGTCGGCCTCTGGAAGCATTTAACCCGACCGCTGATCACACGAAGGATCGCTGCAGTTTATCTCCCCCAGTGATTAACCTCAGTGTGTGAGAGGGTTAATCACAGTACATTTAAATCTTGATTATATTTTGCATCCTCTGCTGTGGATATTGGTTCTTATTGTGCTTTTTCTTTTCTAGGTTAGTAAGTTTGTTGATAAACCTTTTTAAACTCAAACAAGGGCAAGCAAATGAATTAGCACCTAATTGTTGATAAATAACATTGGTTGATATTTCTCAGGCCGTTTGTAAACAATTTGATTCCAACAGAGTTTTTTAGCTTGTACCCGTAACTGTCACATTGGTGCTTTCTCCGTCTATGTGATGCAGCTTAATCTTCAGGAGTTTAATATCAGAAACACTTTAAAGACATTTTTGCAGCTTGTTCGGTAAAACCTGTAAAATAATTATAAAAGGAAATATTGATGTGTGTGTACTAAGCAGTGCCTGACAGTTTGTCACATCCAGTGTGTTTTGTCATGTAAGAAAATGCCTTAAATTTAGAAGTGCCATCAATTGTTTGATTTGCGACTTTTGTCTTTGTACAATAAAAACATGCATGGTAATAATACACAGAACACATCTATGTTTGTATCATTTTATCTAGAAAGCTCATTTGAAATAGCACACAGAGTGATACGAGGTCATTTAACAAAAGCTAAGAAACAACTTTGGTCCTTTTTTAAAACGTGATGATGAAAAAATATATGTAAAAGTGACAAAGTACAATATATACATAAATCAACAAATACTCAGTCATTAACTTGCAAATCAGCTTAAACTTTACACACAAAACTTTGCATAGAAAAAAAAAAAAAAAGGTAAGGTCCATTTAATCAGTCTATATGCCCCCTTTATGAAGCTGTCAGATAATCACTCAAGCTGAGGTGGAGCCAAAATGGCTCCTGTCGCTCTCCCTGTTCAGGATTTCATTTGGATTAGGCCTTGGTGACTAACTTTAAAAATAAAATCTAGTCTCTAGTGTCTACTGCCCTTAAACAAAACACACACAGATGTTTAGGCCCCGTCAAACAATTTCTAAACTTCCAAATTACTCGAGATCGTTTTTGTTCAGGAAACATTCACAGTGGTTGTGACTCACACACAGTATCTTTGCTCCTGATATGTTTGTTTCATTAGTAAAGGCAATCGTTTATTTGCATCAGTAACCTGAGCATGATATGAGGTAATGAAGGGGAGAATAACCACTTGAAATAAAAAGCACACATATATCCGTGGAAGTGGTTAGAGACAAAGGGAACTCCCATCAACACACACACGCACACACACTCACACACACGACCACACACACACAATGTCACTTGATCCTTGGGGTACGTTTGAGCTCTTCAAGCCCGGGAGATAAGAGTTGCACCTGCATGCCGTTTGTTTTGGTAAGTAAATATCCTGTCCATTTGCACAGATAACACTAAGGTCCGTTCACACTAAGTTGATCTGAAGGCATGGAGAGTCAAGTATGATTAACTTGTGTTGGGCCGCTGGACCCCGAAGGCTGTGATGAAGACGTTGACGACAACTATGACGAAGACGAAGGCCGTGGCCAGGTTCTCCATGATGTTCAGCTTGTTGTGCATGCTCTCATCGTTCAGGTTCCACTTCACTGGGTGGAAGAGAAATAACACCAGTGTGGATTAGACAATAAGAGTGACCTCCTTTCCCCACAAGGGGGCAGCACCAAGTTTCACATTAGCAGTGAGGGAATCATTACTGAAGACTATCATAAATTAACAGCATGTGACAGTAGTGGCCTCAGGTGAATAGTTAGCTTCCTCCATTAAGATATTACATGCTTCAGTGGTCTGAGAAGGGAACCTGTGTGTAAAGTCTGTACTTCTATGGGGTTTTTTTCCATTATCTTCTTCCCTCTTTCATTTGTCAACACTTCGCTATTCTATTGACAGACTTGTTGCACAAAAGAGATCCATGCGCAGAAGGAAACCCCCAAAATAATGTCTCTAAACAAGAGTTAGTCAAAAGCCAGGCTACGGAGACAAGTTTTAAAAATGCGTTTTAAACATTTGAACAGTTCTGCTCTCAGGTCCTGAGTCTGCTTGGAGGATAACAGCTCAAAGCCCCCTCCGCACTTGCACTTCGAGACACTTTGACTGTCTGTTCATGGTCTGAAGACTCATGGAGCTGATAAACAGAGGACAAAACTGAAAAAACAACAAGAATACAAATATCTTATGGTGATCTACACCACAGAATCTATACGTCATGTCCTGCCTCTGCCTCCTGCGCCCTCACCTGAACACTAAAGATTTCTGTATTGTTGTGAACACATAGGACAACAGAGAATCTATTACTGCATTCTTTATATGTGAAAGGAAACTAACTGCTTATGACAAAATGCAAGGCAATCAGGAAGTGCACAGGAATTTTGCACGTTATGACGCAAGAGCTGTTGCTTTTGGAAGAGGTCAGCTCTGATGGCATTTAGTAGCTGTCTCCACCATCAGGAAACCACAACCGAGAACTGAGGTTTCTTTGTGTGGGTGACCATGCTGAACTACATTTCTAGAAAGAATCTAGGGGTCGAGAAGGAGCACAAGCCAGTATGATGATGATCACATAAATGTGTGCAGACACAGAAGTCACTCTGTTGGTAAACATACAGTAAGTGTCTTGAATTTGAATCAGGTGGCCATTTGTACCAAGAGGAAATCTCCTGTGACATCATACAGGAGTGAATAGAGATATATTAAATAGGAAACATCTGACAGCAGAGGGGACTTAAAGGCGTGTCTTCCTGCCGTGGCTCTCTAAACTCAGCTCACATCACAATAGCATTTCTGTTAGGATAAGATAAGGAGTCAGCCAGGAAGTGGTGGTGGTGTTGTAGCTTGACTTTCTGTACATCTCACATGTGAACGAGTAGGATTTTGCCCAAATAGAAATTAGGCAGTGGCCACCAGATTTACCTATGAAGATAAGCATAACGCCCACAACGATTTGTAGGATGAGAGAGATGCTGATGAGAGTAATGAGGGGCACATAGAAGGTGAAGTCTGGTCCCTGCTCCATCACGGCCTTCAGCTGGGAGGCGTTAGCCATGAGCAGAGCCACGTCCAGCATGCTCTCTGCCGCACTCTTCTTGTTGGCGTAGTGGTTCATGTTCAGGGGTCCCTGTTGCCTCCTCACGTGGCCTCGCAGCGGCACCTGGACACACACACAAACCCTGACATCAGCGTGACACAAAGAATGACTTCAAACAGAGGGGAGACTGAATAATATCTTACAAGAGGGCTTGATAGTTCATTTTCAGGGAGGTCAGAGGGGGATTTCAGATTTATCTGTAATATTCTTTTATGGCAGATTCCGTTAACATTTAAAATAATCAAATGTGAGCTAAAGATTTTGTAAATTGTCTTTAAATGATTTAATTCTATTCAAAAACTCAACAGCCCATCCTCTAACACAATACGTGTCCTGTGGACGAGAAAACTCTATTTTCATCATTTTCACCATCCCCACTGCAAAGTCTGTTATTCTGTCCTGTCCATGTGTAAACCTGGTGTTTAAGAAGTGAAGTGAATGTGGAGAAAATGAAGGGCTGGTGCTCTGCTGCTGCCAGAATATTGGATTTCTTGGAAATAGGAGGCTCACTGGAAAGTATGACCTGTAAGTACCTTCTCAAAAAATTCATGCTGCAGTTTGACATGTCAGGATTTTTCTGTGGGCTCTAAAATCCCCCCTCCACACTCTGTGTCACAAATTACATCAGTGTTTTAGACGCAGGCTTTAGTCATCACAGCTAGCAAACATATTTAGACAATCTAGTCTTAGACTATAGGTGGCATGGTGGTACAGTGGTCACCCAGATCAAATCCAATGGGGTATTTAAGTTTGCACGTTCTTGTGTCTCTGTGGGTTTTCTCTGGGAACTCCAGCTGCCTCCCACTGTCCGAAAATGGAAAGTCTAAAATAGGAAACTTTAAATTGAGTAGGTGTGAATGGTTATTGTTCCTGCAACCCACCTTTTGCCCTATGTCTGCTGGGACTGGCTCCAGCCACCCTCAAGTGATATAGATATATATAGATAGATATATTTAATAGTAGAGCAATGACACTATCACATTTAACTTTAATACTGTGTGATAAGTGTGTAGCAATACCATTTACCATGAATATTAAAGTAATTATGCTTGTATCATTTTTTTGCCTCAACCATTTGATGTTCTCTAGTTATTCTAGAACAACTGTCCACAACTCAATAAAACAAGCACACAGCTTAGTGTTAAAAAAAACCAAAACTATGCAATCACACAAAGTTTTTCCCTGGCAGATAATAATGGAAGTGAAAGTATCTGAAGGAGGTTTATTCAAACAGGTCACTGGTCACAACAATTTGTCACAACCTTCTTTTCCAAGCTGACCGGGTCATGTTTTACATTGTAACACACAAGGGGGATGAAATGGCCTCCACCCACATACTCTGGAAAAGTGGAGACACAAACTGTATAAACAAAGCATCTGAAGGACACACATCACAGTAATGAAGCTCATTTTATCACTGATGTTTCTACATTATTATTCCAAATTCAACAATGACTTCCTAGATAAATAAAAATATGTAACCATGTGTAAAATGAACATGAGCAGAATTTCATGTTCCACCATCACTGAACTGGCTGATGTATTCCTGGAAGAGGTCATGTCAAGGAGTTTCCTTCCCTTTCTGAGAACCAACCAACTGGTAAAAAGTTCATTTAAACAGGACAGATATTACACCACAAAACCCAGGGTCAATGCAGAGCCCCTAGTTTCTGTCTATTATGAGCTTAGTGCAGTGCTAAAGATTTGTCTGGGGTAGTGGAGTTAAGCAGTCTAACAATGTCACCGTTGTGCCCAGGTTGTTAACATCACGCACTGAGGTTCTGCGTTCCTCATTCTAAACGTATGAAGGTTTACCGCAGAGAAACATGGTCGTGCTCGTGTGGACGACCAGCAGATGAGAATGAGAGTCACTTCCTGTTGCCGACTCTTGATTCATAAACAGCAACAGCTTCATTAACAGCTTTTGTAATCCACTTCTTTCTGTCTGCGGCTCAACAAGAGTTTCTTTTTCAAGACCGCTGAGAAATTCATTTCATTGTTTTTCTAAAAATAAATTTGACTTGATGTGTATTTTATTATTGTCTTTAACTAAAGGTGGTTACCAGACAATTATTACATAACTTCTGTATACTGCATTATGTATGTTTACTTTTGTATTCATTAACAAGTGAAGTTAAGTAAGTGATCTATAAATCGTCACACGTGAAGAGCTGGAAAAAGCAACAGGTTGATGAACTGAATTAAAACAATGTATCTATCTTTAAGATATTTATAATTTTCTGTCAGGTAACTACTTGGTTAATCAAATAATTATTTTTAGCAGTATGAAGTGCAGGACCCTGGCCCCACATTAACCTTTAAAACTGACTAACATCAGTGAGCAGCAGGTTGTCCCTGCATTTTGTTTCTCATTGTAACTTGTAAAAAAAAAAAAGATCCAATCAAAATAAATGCTTCGATCAAAACCAGTACAGATATAATTACATCACACATGAGCTGTATAAAGTATATATACATATATATATATATATATATATATATATGGAACAGCCTGCAGCAGCTTTATTGTTATAACCTCCACTGAGACAAGTTTACTTCACTCTTATTACCCTTGATACAACCAGTGACACAAGATTACGAGACCACTTTGTATTTACACTTCCCTTTTAAACATGGTATTGTAGTGGCTGCTTTGCAGTGAGAGTTTAGATTGAATTAATTTGAAATCTACTTGATCAAAAGTTATTCTTCTGAATAGAACTATTGTTAATCATTAACTTTTATATGTATTTTAGAAAGTTTTATTTCATTTAACTTTATTCATACTTCTATCCTTACACTTCTGCCCTGATGTTGCGTGATCTTCAATTCAATCTGCATTTAATTGTTTGCCATTGTTCTATATTGATGTTCTTCTATAGAAATGAATTGTATTATCATTATAATTCCTATTGTTGTTGTTATTTTGAGTTGTATAACATCTTCAACCCTCTTCTAATGCATGACTCAACCATGTATTGTGGAGGAGAGGGATCTATGTGTTCTTGAGTGTGTTACAACATGGCACGGTTTAAACCCCTACAGTCACATCGTGTGTGATTAAGTGTAAACTGAGTCTTTCTTACTCAGGAGAAACACAGGAGACTTTGTGAATGAGTGAGATCGCGTTGGAATGAGTCTGGATTATTGGAGCTGTAATCCTGACGCTGCTAGCCGGTCACATTAGCTCCATGAATTATTGCTGCGGTGGCTAACGTGAAACCCGAGGGTGTGTGAATGGATGATGGAGGGAGAATAAAGCCAGCAACGTTTCCTGTGAAACCTCTGGAGATACTCCGATGTGGGAACTCACCCCGGGCTCAGCCACACAGGGTCCGGGGGCTCAGCTCGGATACTCGTGAAGGTTTGAACAGAACAAGAAGCTCCTCTCTCCTCCTCTCTCCTCCTCCTCCTCTCTCCTCTTACCTCCGCTCCTCCGTTTCGATCGGCATCCCCGTTCATCTCCAAGCTCTCCGTGGCCATCTTGTCAGAGGAAGGAGCCTAATGTCCGGGGCAGGTTTGCGTGTATCGCGTGGGAAAGTCAGTGGTCAAGTCTCCAGCAGTGTGTTTATAAAGCTGTGACGACAGAAGAGGGGGGGGGGGCATCTGCAGGCTACCGCCCCTCCAACATGGGACCGGCTGTCCTCTGTGTCCTCTCAGAGCTGAGGACCAGAGACAAGTGAGAGCTCCAGCCCAGCGCAGAGGAAACTGTGGCTCTGTTTGCTCGTGTGGGTCTGAGACCTTCGTGACTCTCACGGAAATGTGCAGACATCGTTTTTCATTGCACGATGATTGACAGCCTGTAACATGACTCTTTACTGACACCATGCTTCTCAACGCGGTATTACATGCTGGAGAAAAGAGTGACTCCAAGTTCAACACCCTGTGGTTTGTTATAATTGAATCAAACTATTTTGTTCAAGGTTATACATCACGATAAAAACTGAAATATTACAGGGCTTCAGATTAGATTTTGGCCCAGAGCCCCTCTGTAAGACAGCACTTCACTTTCTGGTCTTTTTCTTTTTTTGTATGTATCTTATCTTTGGCAGTTTGGGCCTCAGGCGAGCTGCACTCTTTAATAATTCAGTTTTGACAGTAGCTTCTATAAAAATGAAAGACATGTCTGCTCCCTGAAGCCAAAGCATCCCGATCACCATCTGGTGGACGGCTGTAGTATAAACAAATGTTCAGATATCACTTTCATTGGGACTGCAGCAGAGCACGATATTTGACAGCCTGTACAGTCCAACATGACTCTCCACTTGTAATGTGATATTTACACGGTGCAGCACGGTGCTCCACCAAGTTCAACGCCCTGTGGTTTGTTATAACTTAACCAAACCACTTTGTTAAAGGTACAGTGTGTAGAATTTAGTGGTGAAATTGCATGTTGCAGCTGAATACCCCTCATCTCACCCTCCCCTTCCAAACATGACAACCTGTGGTAGCCTTCATTTGTCAGAAAAACTCAAAAGGTGTTTAGTTTGTCCAGTCTGGTGGACTGTAAAAAACCTGACGGCCTCCATAGAGAGGACCCCCTCGATGTAAATATAAAGGGCCTCATGAAAAAGGGTAAATAAAACAACAATTCATACAATTTTGATGAAACACACCAGTGAAAACATCATGAGAACCTAAATCTTACACACTGGACCTTTAAAAGATATGAATCACAAAAAACAAAACAGAGATATTAAAGATCTTCAAATTATATTTTGTCCCAGAGCCCTCTGTAAGACAACAGTTCAGTTTCGGATCTTTTTCTTTTTGCAGTTTTGAGCGCAGGGGAGCTGCAGTCTGCCGGCTGTAGTATTACCAAAAGTCCAGATATCACTTTCATTTGGTACAGTCCAACTTGACTCTTTAGTGACACCATGCTTGTTAACCGTGGAGTTACATGTATTACAGACTCAGCAGGCTCAGTGTATCACCCTGTGGTTCGTCATAATTTAATTAAACCATTTTGTTCAAGGATATGCGCCACATAAGGAAACCATAAACACAACTATTACAGCGCTCAGAAGAGCACATAACCCCACCAAGGCCCAACAGTCCCCTAAAGCTCATCAAGGCTGCCTTCAATTTCACAAACTCATAAAGTGAAACCCAAAAGTGAAGCTAAAGCACATTGATCACCACCTGCTGGTTTGCTGCAATAGGTCAAATATTATTTTCACGAGATAATCTGAGGGTCCTTAGCCATAAAGTAACTCATCCAGATTTCTTGTTAAGTCTGTCCCTCAGTACCAAACTTTTCATGATGGTATAATATGGGCCTTCATGTATTATTAAAGGTATGTGTAGAATGTTGTGATATCTAGTATTGAAATGACATGTTGCAGCTGAACACCCCTCACCTCACCCTCTCCTTCCAAACATGAAAAAGAACCTGTGGTATCCTTTGATTGTCATAAAAACTCAAAAGGTGTTTAGTTTGTCCAGTCTGGACTAATGTAAAAAAACATGGCGGCCTCCATAGAGAGGGTCCCCTCGATGTTAATATGAAGTATTTAAATATAAAGAGTCTTTTCTGGGGTAAAGAAAACTACAATTCATACAATTTAGATGAAACTAGTGAAAACATCATGAGGATTATTCTACATTAAATTTCTGCCAATAGTTCCCTTTCACCTAAATCTTACACACTGGACCTTTAAAACAAGAACTATCATGAGTCATATCCTTTAATTCATGTATGTCTTCAAGTTAAGTTGAACAGTAGCTTTATCTAGGCTTGGACCTTTACCCAGTGGAACACATGTGGCCATATGGGACTGTTAAATGAGAGCAATTGAAAGGATGACCACACACCACTTTGATTGTCACATTCATGGTGTCCCATTGTAAACTGACCCTCCCGGGCCTGATCCCACCCACTAACTGCTTCCTATTATTCCCATGGTTTCCCTGGAGATCTGGGCAAGTTTGTTCTTCAAAGCTGATCCAGTAAAATTTATAACGGTCCCCTCAGGGTCATCCTTGTGGAAAGAAAGAATTTCACGGTTTTCTCGTCCTTCTGTTGCATTACACTCTCTTCAAATGAAAAGATAAATGAGCAAGCCCAAAGATGAATATGCCCTTGTTGCCCCACCCCTGACCTTTGCATTATTTACAGTTCCAGAAGCAGCCACTTTATTTATTTAATGCATTTACTTAGTGCTTTGAACAAATGATGCAGGAACAAAGCACAAACCGTGTTGCCTTATACATTGTTGCAATGTGTAACAATAAAAAAGGCAACTTTAAACTATTCAACCAGACATTAAACAATCATTTTTCTTCACTGAATTGTGTCAGGGGAAATAATACAATGGTATATTAATTTAAGAATATAATTTCTATATTACAAACTATATTAAAGCTTCAGTGTTAACTGTACAACACTCAATCACAGTAAAAGTGTGCATGGATGCAAAAGACCATCAACACAGTTAGGACTGGGTCCTGATCAGGTGGGAAACAATCTTATAATCGTTGTGGAAGAATTTCATATCGCCCCCACACCCAGCCTTTCACCATGGGGTCCTTATGGCAGAATATTCACATGGGGTCCACTCGATTTTATCCAGTAGCCATACATATTTCCAAGCACCGTCCCCTTTGGTCGGCTCACCCTCCTCCTGGAGGTTCCGCGCGTCACGGTGAGGGCGGAAGGTGGTGCGGTCCACACGGCGGCGCACAGGGGAGGCTGCTGAGGGTGTCGCCCAAAAGCGTGCCGACTTATTGGATAGGCCTGCGTGTTGTTGCTAGGGGCGTGGGCTGTGCCGTGAAATATCCCAGTTTCCTCAAACCTCAGTGAGATGATTTTTTTTTCTTACCAAGACATCAGCATCCGCATGAGCAGAGAGATGCGCTGATGAAGAGCGACGCCTCCTCCGACCTGAGGGAAACCGTGGCGCAGTGAGCGTAATCTGATAAGCGCATCCTGCACAGGACAGCACTCATCTGCAGGAATAAAAGAGAAACAGCTACGTGCGGATAGTTGGAGGAACAATGCAGAGATGCTGAGGTCACACTTCACGGAGGCGATTCACTGTTTCAGTCGGAACACCTGCCTCGTTTGCATCAGCCAGAGCCCGCGGGTCGATGAGCGCGCACAGGGGATGACAGCTGCGCACTTGGCCGTCCCGTGATGTGTCTTTGGAAGGATTAATGCGTCCTGTCCACTGTGAGGCCAGTGATCTGTCTGCGGAACCAATCGCATGTTTTTATAGGAGAGGGGACATTATGCAATGTGGAGGGGAAATGTTCGTGGGTTAAACTGACAGTGACAACAGGCGCAACTTGAACAGCTCTGTGCAGGACTGCAGCAGTGAGGTGACAGCTAGGAGGTGGCGCGCATCCTCCCCCGAGCTGGAACATTTAGTCGGGATGTTTTGTGTGCAGAACAAATTCAAGACGTAAGGCCACAACACCCCTGCGCCGGCGAACTGCGTCACTGCATGCGAGTGTTGCAGGAAGCCAGTAAAGTCTCCCTGCGCCGCCGGGAGGCAGAGGAGCATGCCCATCACCCTCCTCCCTGTCGCTGGTAAGTGTCTCACTAGTTACCGGGCATGGATCCGGCAGATGACTCAAGTAAAGATCCGCCCTTGGGCTCCACTTTCTCCTCAGCACCGAATCTAGACTCGGACATAAACGCGAATGCCTGCAGGCCTGTCTATGAGAACGGGACGGACCACAATGTCAACATCCAGAGCGCAGCCCAGCGAGGAGCCAGCGACCCCAGCGCGTACCCCTCCACGGACTACCGGGGGCTCATCCGCCAGAGGTTCATCCGGAGGAGTCTGTGGGTGTCGGACTCCGAGGAGCACCAGCCGGTGGTGGACACGTGTGTCAACAGCAGCCCGGTGCTCAACATCGACCTGCGGACCATCGTGGATCGGAGTCGGACCCGGGTCCTCCAAGGGACCCGCCTGGGGCTCCAGGAGACGTCCAGCACGGAGAGCCAGGCGGAGCTGAAGGAGAGCGCCACGGAGAGCGTGAGCGCGGACGAGGAGAAGGGGGACGGCAGCGAACACCAACCCAAGGCCGAGGTGGTCGTGCCCTCCGACGTCACAGGTAAAGCGGGAAGTGACGAGAACGAAGAGGAGCCCGGGATGAAGGCCGTGTCCACCTCACCTGGGGGTCGATTCCTCAAGTTTGACATTGAGCTGGGCAGAGGGTCCTTCAAGACCGTCTACAAGGGTCTGGACACCGAAACCTGGGTGGAGGTGGCCTGGTGTGAACTCCAGGTGGGTTCACTGACCAGTCATGACATAGGGACCCATTCATTAAATACCACTGGCTGTATATATAGGCACATGCTCCAAAAGGTCCCTAATGAATGTGCTGGTTCCATGGGGTCAAAAAAGAGGCCTTTGTGGAGCGGTAGATGTTCCCAGCAATCTCCAGACCATTTAAATCAACTCTATCTAAAGTTGAAACAGTGAGAAAATAATATTTTAATAAATGTCCTGGCTGAGCAGATAATGGGCTTGTTTAACATCCTCTCAGGTCAGGGTCTATTCACAGCCTTTTGTCCTCCTCCTCACAAGTTACTTCAGATAATATGGAGAACTGTATGGCCTGAATGTCATCATCATGTAGATTTGAGTCATCCAGACTCTGCCTGTTTACAAAGGTACTGAGAAAAAACATCAGGAAGGATGATGAGGCGTTCAGGTACAAAATGGACTAAATCCAGTTGTTTGCAAAGACCTTACAAAGCCTCAATTGACCTCTTCTTGAATACATTCTGCTCCATATACACAATGTCAGCAGAAGAAGATGATTAAAAAGTATTTTACGGTGACAGCTTGCTGTGTCACTAATCTGTGTATGTGGTAATCTAATGATCAGTTTAGATACTATAACAGATTAGCCTGCATGGACGCAGACATGTAGACAGTGGTTGCCCTTTCACGACTCAAAATGTGCCACGCTCTTGCTGTCTGTCCGGAGCACATTATACTGTGAGGAGTTAAAACAGACAAAATGAAATGTTATTCTGCTGCAACAATCACAACCTTTATCTAGGATTCTCCAGTACTGTCCCTGTGGACACATTCACCCAGCTTCAGTTTCAACAAAACCAGCATCTCTATCTGTTTCTGTTACGTGAGACATTTCTTCATTGAATAGGTAACTGGCTATAGCAGTCACTCTTTTAACAAGTCACTCCTATATTTGCTATAACTTTAATCCTATATCATAACAAGTTATTACCTTACTTTTGTTATCTATTTCTGAAAAAAACATCCTCCTAAGTCTAAAAAACTCCAGTAGTCACTTGCAAAATCATTTTTACCAACCAACTTTTATTCCCTGCTTGTTGTTCTGTCTGAGTCAATACACTGGTTAGTATATTGGTGTTTAGACGTATTGGAGCCAAACACATAAATCGAGTTGGCTCAGACTGAATCAGCACCTTAGCATTTAAACAACCTTTAATTTGCCATTAATAACCACTAATGTTTCTGTGGCACTGCCCTGCAACGTAATTTGTTAGATTTAAGTCAGTCCCTCAATAAAAGTAATAGTACACAGAGTGATGTAGCGCCGTGTCCCGATCACTGCATGTCTCCCATACAGTGGAGGTGACAGTCCGGAACAAATGTCTTGGTGACGTCCCTGGTTCAAGCCTATGTTAGCCCTACCTACACTTGTTTTCAATTTAATGCTGTTGCTAATTATGGAATAATACATACAAGTTTTTTTTCAGTATGCATTGTCATCTGTCGAGAGAGACACCAACCACTGGTGGTATTTTTTTTAATACTTGTACATCATTAACATTTTTTTTAAACATTGATCAGGAAAGACATGAACAACATGCAACAAATGTGTATGTGTGTGTATATCTGTGTGGCGTCTGAGCAGGTTCTTAGGGGAGCTCTGGTGATGATTCAACCATTCTGTCCCCGTAGGTGAGGCCTTGCCCTTTGTGCCTGCACTGCTTGCTCACAAAAACCTGCTGCAACTCAGATACTGGGTGTGTGTGTGTGTGTGTGTGTGTCTGTCTTTGGGAGTAAAACTAAGAATGAGACAGCAGAAACCTGGATGCTCATAAAAAAAGAGGTATAAATCATATTTGAAGAGGAATGAGCTGGTGACTGGTAGTGAGTGGACCAGACAGCTGTAGTCTTGTTACTTATTCATCCACTATGTGATGATCAAACATCTGCTGGGTGAGGTGTTTATCTGAAATGAACACATCACGCAGCATGATTTAGTAAAATGCCAAAACACTTTACCCGTCTCTGTGTCAGCGCTACAATATTATTTGTCTTGTTTGATGACTTAATGATGAATGCTAAACGTGGAGTTATACCCCTGTGGTATTACCACGCAGATGTGTCTGGAGAGTATCTAGGAGTGAATCATGCTGATACAGCTCTCTGCACCAAGACATGCAGAGGGGAGAGAGGAGAAAGGAACAGGGTGGGTTCAGCTGAGGATAGCGTTGAAGAAGTGTGGTATTGGATTCGAGGCAAAGCACAAGTTCTTTATTTATGTTCATCGCACTATGTGCTGACCACTCCACACTCCATTAGCTACAAATATCAGTGCTGCTAATATGTTTTTTGACCCAGTTTTTATTGTGTGAAGTCTCTGTCATTCTGTGTTATTAGTGCCACACCCTGCTAAGACCTCTGCAGAGCATCCTTTATAATCTGTTTGGACACGGCCCAGAAAATAGGTTGATATGATCCGAGAGATGAGACGAGATGAGGTGTATCCTTCACAAAGCTTTAAACAATCAAAAATCCATTTGATTGCACACTGCTGGTCAGCATGAGCTGTCAATAAAAACTGACTCCCCAGCGTCAGTCTGTAATCAATGTCCAGCAATGTACAGTAGGTTATCGTGCGTTTCAAAACATGAAGTGCACCCTCATTATTCCAAACAAAAAGTGTCTATACGAAAGACGGGGCGAGAAAATCTGGAGGTCATGTAGCACTAAAGCCGCTGGGTTGTATCTGCCATGCTGAGTGGAGAGAAACAGAAATGTAGAGGATGTTCACCGTCAGCTGTTTTACTATTTATACAACAGTTCAGGGAAGGCAGGGGCCAAAATATTGATCCAGTATACACAGATTCATTCCAGCTTGTGCACCTAAAGATGCAAGAATTCAACTTTGAATCTTCCTTGATGTTTCCTTGATGAAACACCATTTCTTTATTATAAACTCTATGGTGACGTCTTGTTCCATTATTCACCAGATATTAATCTGAAATGTGTTTGTAGCAAGACACTTGATTAAAATAGGAATTTAGTCCTTAGTCTTCTGAAAATAGGATCAGGATTCTACTGTGAGGTCTGAGGTGTGTGTTTTATTTATAAAAAACGTAAACGGTACAGACCCCCATCTCCGCCCACTCAAAATACCAAGGTTGTATTCACTCTAAACACGATGCCGAGGCATTTCTGATAGGTTTCCACTCCTGACTCAACACATGGGCTATTTAAATGAGGCTGAAAAGGAATTTTATGTCTTCAGTTACCATTTAATATAAAAACTCACTGAAAATGAGAGTGATCCAGCACCTCGTCCTCGACCACACTGCAAATATGTCAAGTTTTGACAAACTGGCCTCTGCTGGAGCCTCACCTCTTGTCAGGCTCCAGAAAATCTGGACAGAATGAATGAGTGAATTTGGAATTCATGCTTTCTAATTTTTAAAAATAAAATTGTCTTTCTTCGTTTTCTCCAGGAAAGGAAACTGTCTAAAGTTGAGAGACAGAGATTCAAGGAGGAGGCTGAGATGTTAAAGGCTCTCCAGCATCCCAATATTGTGCGGTTTTATGACTTCTGGGAATCACCGGTGAAAGGGAGGAAGTGTATCGTTCTTGTGACAGAGCTAATGACCTCAGGGACACTAAAAACGTAAGAGTCAATATGTAAATACACAGATTCTATATCCATCTTTATTAAGACATTTGAGGAATGCTTCTCTTCTTATTTTGCCTTTTTCCAGTTTCACTGGTCAGTAGATTCAAATATTAATATCCTATTGCTGCTTCGATTAGTCAGTTTAAAACAACATTACAGTAATGACCATTAGACTACATCATGTGTATCACGTTTCATACTAGATGAATGACACTATTACAGTAGATCTGATTACTACTGGACTAAAACTCCAATATATTATTTATGTTTTAAGAAAACGAACGGTTGTGATCTTAATATTGTTTAAACTCACTTAAAATAATTAAATATACAGTAAAGACGATACAATTATTAATACAATACAATTTTATTAATGAAAGCAAAGAGGAAACACAGATCTTTATTTGCTGCTTTGCCAATTAACATTATGAAAATGCCTTGACAGCTGGAACATCTCTATCATGGTGATGGTATTTGCTATTCTCCCACAGGTATCTGAAGCGCTTCAAGGTGATGAAACCTAAAGTTCTTAGGAGCTGGTGCAGGCAGATTCTCAAAGGCCTCCACTTCCTCCACACAAGGACGCCTCCAATCATCCATCGAGACCTCAAGTGCGACAACATCTTCATCACTGGCCCCACAGGCTCTGTCAAAATAGGAGACCTCGGCCTGGCAACACTAAAGAGGGCCTCCTTCGCTAAAAGTGTCATTGGTTAGTCCTCAGGAAGATGGCAAGACACTGTTTTATTGGAGGGGGGATAAGATAATATTTATTTCAAAACTTCAATAACTTTTTTGGGCCGCTTGGGTGCAGAAGAAAAAAGCAGGAAACACAACATGACCTTTTAAATTCAAATTACAATCTCGCTACTAATTTGCGTAGAGCAGTTACACAGCAGAATTTGGCTGTTTTGGTCTCCACAAACTCCTGAGAAGAGTATCTGACCTCTAATTAATGCATATGAAATGTTACGCTACATAAGGTTTTTCAAAGTTTTCTCAAATAGCTTAATGCTGGAGCATCATCAAACATATATTTTGTGAAATCTTACATTATGGTGTTCAAGTGTATCAGAGCATCTGACATTTGCAGTTCATCCTTTCTAGTAAATTCTCTTAACTGTCATTTGAGTAATTCGAAAATGATTAGGACCATGATTTGCAAGGCGTGTTGAATTGCAGTCCTCGACACCGGTATTGATCCCAGTGAAACAGGATGAAACCGATAACCGCATGGGAGTTCATGATTCATGGCCGTCTCTTGAATTATTTCTCCAGGCACTCCGGAGTTCATGGCCCCAGAGATGTATGAGGAGCACTATGACGAGGCTGTGGATGTCTATGCCTTTGGGATGTGCATGTTGGAGATGGCCACCTCAGAATACCCGTACTCTGAGTGTCAGAATGCTGCACAGATCTACCGCAAAGTCACCAGTGTGAGTTCACGTTCAGTGCTGTTTAACGCTGCTGATACAACCAGTTGGCGTCATGACATTTTTATTGACCCACTAATTTTTGATTCTTATTTTGTGGCGAATTAATTGTGTGGGACCAGGAGACAAGTTTGTTAGTTCATGGGTTTATCATATATTCTTGGTCAAGCAGTCTTTAAAATGTTGAAAATGTCATTTGTTTGCTGCCAAAACACAACGGTTGTTCAACCTGTAGCAATGAAATGGACAACAGAAACAAATATTCAAGTTTTTTAGGAATTTTTAAATGATGCTATGTAACTTTTACAGTGATCAGTTGACTACAAAGTTACAGCCATTGAGCGATGCAACAAAAATGCTAAACAATAGCTAAACTAAGGTTTGGCACAATGCTAAATGTGAGCTAAAATGCATTTTTTTCCCTAAAATACTAAATATAACAGAGAAGTGTCATAAAGTCTTCTATTACCCTCCTTAATCCCCAGTATTGAAATGTATTAAAAATACATAAAAATATGTTTAGGAAAAACGGTATATTTTTGACACTGTCATGCATTCACGTGCTAAGTATTACTGTCAGGAGTGCGTCAGTCGGCAAGACGAGGCAAGTTGATGCTTGTTTGTTTTGCAGGGGGTGAAACCTGCTAGTTACGGTAAAGTCAGCGACCCTGAAATTAAGGAAATTATCGGGGAGTGCATCTGTCACAGATGGGAGGAAAGGTAAGTGGTTCACAGGCTGTGACACACTTTATATGTACTGTAGATACTGGTTGACGTTTCCGTTCCTGAGTGTGACAGAAATGCCAGTATTTGACTCTGTGTTACTCAACATCGGATTTCCCCGTCACTGTGATCTTTAGTGTTCGCATATTTCCTGCAGGTACTCCATCAAGGACCTCCTGAATCATGCCTTCTTTGCAGAGGATACAGGTGTGAGGGTGGAGCTCAATGAGGAAGATGATGGGAAGAAATCCTCTATTGCTCTGAAGCTGTGGGTGGAAGATCCTAAAAAGCTGAAGGGAAAATACAAGGACACTGGTGCTATTGAGTTCACCTTTGACTTGGTGAACGAGGTCCCAGAGGTCGTCGCCCAAGAAATGGTAAAGGAGTATTTTGAGTTACAGAAAGAATACTTGTATTTGGCAAGTGTAAACAGATGATAGTTGTTGCATTTGACTTTTGGATTATTAGCCTTTAACTTTATAGGGTAACAACAGGAGATCTGAAACCAGGTCAATCAGGTGTTTTGAGAAAAGTGACCGATCTCATTATATTTAGTCTGGCTTAAATGTTTCTGCTCTTTTTTTTTACCTTGACTGTTTTTGTACTGGCCAGTCTGGAAGGTTTCTTTTGTCAACTTGACCATAAAATTCATTAAATCATTCATCATCCTCATTTATGATTGTATGCAGATGTATTGTTTTAAAATTTTTCTATAATTCAAAATGTTTTGATATTTAGTGTGTAAGAAATAGTACCATAGCAACAGTAATTCTACTTAGCAGTTATATAGTTTCTGATATTTATCAGTGTGTGCAATTTGGTTCAGCTCTATTAAAAGTAATTTCGCTACATATCATTGGTTCATGTCTTAGTGTGTAAGTCTAATGTCACAAGCGTCCTTACTTTGGAACACAGTCTCAGAGCCTCTTATTAACATAATAACGTGGTCAGTGGTCTGTATTGAAGTGTCTGTTCATCTTTTCTCTCCCATACAAACTTGTGTAGTGAAAATATATGTCGTTTTGTTAATTTATCACATCTTTTCTGTGTCCTCCAGGTTGAATCAGGTTTTTTCCTGGACTGTGACGTCAAGATAGTTGGGAAGTCGATCCGAGACCGCGTGGCTCTCATCAAATGGAAGAGGGAGCGCACTGTCTCGACAGGAAATGGTGAGACGCAGCAGAACCTTCTGCAGGTTCCCAGTACTGGTGTACCACAGGGAGCCACATTAGCCGCAGCAGATTACGAAGACCAAGAGGGGGAGCAGCAGACCCTGATCTGCACTGTGCCAACCACCACATCTACTACATGTAAGAGCCTGAGCACACACACATCAATGTATCATATGTCACTCAACCTCTGGTAATAAATCTCACTACTGGTCCAATGCAGCAGCCTTTAACAGTTAATGGTATTGACTCTGACTGAAAATGGTTTAACTGGTATTTATGAACATAAGAGTGTAACAGTAAAGTGACCGCAGCATCTGTTAGTCAGGAATGAGACACCATCAACCACCTTTTTATTTTAATGACACTACTCCACTGTCTTGTCCTCCTGTCATTCTTCAGTGTTTGTACTTACTGCAAAGGGCATTTTCTTTTGCATCATAATGACGTCTCCTCTCTGTTATTACAGCTGACAGTGGGGGGAGCTCTATCGTGCAGTTAGACGACCTAAACAATCAGCAAAACGGGCTCTACCAGTCTCCTCCAGAGCCCGTTTCCACGACTCACATGATTTACAGTCCTCCTGCACAGGCTGAGCCTCAAATGCACCAGGGGCCCTACCAGCAACCCACAGCACAGGCCCCACTCGACAACTACACACAAGCATCCACACAGTTACATCAGGGAAACTACCCACAGAGCACAGGTCAACTGCATCCTGGGGCTTATCAACAAACTGCAGCACAGACCTATCAGTCTCAAACAGTGAGTAAAACATGTCTCGTTCCTGTGGCAACTTTCCATAATTAGATTTTCTTGTTCTGGAATAACAACATTTTTCTTTCCTTTTTTTTTTGCAATTACACCCGATCAGCGTCACGGCAGTGATCCCTTTGTATGCCATGACGGCCTCAACAGTGAGAGCACAGTGTGTTTTAGGCGTGGAAGCACCTCCCTGGTTGAGATGTTGCGGTGTCGGACACACCCTCTCACTAAGACAAGCCCCTTCCTATGTGCGTCACTGGCTCGGGCCTCGACAAATAGCGTAGAGAGCTCAGTGCATGCCACAGATCACCTGTTCTCTAACTCTGCACAGAATCCATCGGGATTATCTCCTCTCTTGTCCCCCTATCAGCACTCCGATCATGACTCAGCAAGACATTTTAATTCACCTCTCCTTCCCCTAAATTTACAGCCTCCCTCAGAGCTGCAACCGAGCACCCCCCGCAGCCCGCAGCCCGACCGGCACTGCAAGGCTTGCATGTCTCTCCTCCTGAGGGACAGGACAAAGGGAGGCGGATCTCTGGGACACACACACATACGTTCTTTCTCCCAGTTTACTCCAGTGTGTAAGCCAGGCTCGCACACATCTCCTAACCTGTCAAAGTCTCCTCCCCTCACTGTACCTTTGCCTTATGCATCGCCCTCTCTCCCCCCTTCAAACAGTCAGTCTACCCTGCTGACCTCACCTTCAAATCTTCCTCCGCCCTCACAAGTTGCACGGTCACGGAGTTTGTATGAAGGCGCGGATCTCACTCTTCTCAACCACTGTCTCCATCATATCGTCGGTCGCAGGACCAGCACTCCCACCCTCTCTGATCGAGTACTCAATCATCCGATGGGCACCACCTCCTCAGTATTTGAGCGTATAGACAAAAGTCAGAGCCTGGAGATCCCACTCCCACACTGTTGCCCATATCTGGACAGGAACAAGCTGTCATTGCCCCACAGCAGCAAAGGCAGAGCGGATCCACTGGTAGGTTAGAGAAGGAGACTCCATTTAGGCTTAGTAACTACCATAGAAGCAGCCTGCTGTGTCTATCATGAATCTGCCAGCTGCTTTGCTCCTATGGACTTTGCATTATAATAGCCAAGTGCAAAACCCAGTCTCTGCTGCTGCTTAATCCACAATAAGGTTTAATATCTGCTCTCATTTTTAGATAAGGTCAGACCTCAGCAAGAGATTGTGGCAGTATATATGATACTGTCCCTGTAGAGTGTATGGCATTGAAAACAATGGGTGGCTGAGGATAGATTAATGGAGTAACTCCCCTTTTTCCATTTCAGCTTGCCTTATTGAATATTGCCTGCTGCAAACATGAACTCAGTGGATGGCTGAAGATAGAGTAATGGTGTCACTCCGCTTTTCCTTTTCATTTTACACAATTAAAGTGTGCCAGCTGCAAACATCCCTCTAGTTTCTTGCATATATCTCCAGCCCTGCTTGGATTCCACACTGACTATTTCAACCTTGTGCTTGATGATCTTCTATCTCATATTGAGTCATGTCGTATCATCATGTCTAAAAACACAGTCCAATAAATGTCACCTCTCGTGTGTTTCTGACAGACAGTGTCTGCTCCTGCTACACCAGCTCCGACTGTGCTCCAGAGTAGACAGACAGCACAGAGCTTCCCGGCCGCAGCCCCCACTTTACAGACGCATCCTGGCCAAGAGCAGGTACTGAACGCATCCAAAGCTGCTTTCAGACGTTTACTGAACTCTGCAGATCCGAAGTATTTTCTCCAGGGATGCATGTGTGAACGCAAAAGTCAGAGTGAGAGGCGATAGGATTATCTGCGGACTTTCTCCGCCTTGCCCCCTTGTATAGTCCGTAGAAAGTCTGGAGAATCTGATGCGAGAACACAGCAGGGGATCCACCGTGAGCGCGACAGACGGTGACACACTTGTAGAAGACACCGACGAGTTTGTGGCAATAAGCGTTTGATATGCTTTAAACTTTTAATATGTATTTATTCTGGCTGTTTTGAGAAAAAAGTTATGATTGAGAAGAAACTCAAAAGATAATAATGAGATTTTCTCCCAGGAAAAGAGTAGCTAGAATTTACATACATTTGTTCAACTATAATTAGAGTGGTATATACAATAAACAAGTTAGGATTGCTGGCTGAAAGTGCACTAGCTGTATTACTTTTTTAAATTTAATTTCTAATTCTCTAGTGGGTGTTCAGCAAACATAAAGGACATCATGTGCAATTTAATGGCACCAACGAATGAATGAACATTATTTGTAGATCATCTGTGTGTGAGGCAGAACGAAGATTGAGACTGAATAAACATCCAACAATGGTTAGGTTCCAGGGCTAGTTCATAAAGGGGCTGTGTGAATGTTATTTCTATCGACTGGTGTTCATCGTATATATCCATTTTCCCTCTTTCTTTCCCAGTTTCCCTCACCATATCCTGTTGTTCAAACAGGGGGCCACAAGCCCCCTGCCTTCTCCCAAGCTCCTCTGCCATCTGCCTACAGCAGCAGTGGCCCCTCTATGTCGAGCACCTACTACTCACCTTCATCCCACCATCCCTCTCTCACTCTGACCCCTCATGCTGCCATGCCCACCATTCCCACTATAGGCACCCCTCAGACCCCTCTGTCCACACCTCGACACATGTCCGTAGTGGCACTCCCAATCCCACTCCTCACCATGGCCATGTTGCCTGCAGCGCCCCAGCAGGGCGGCTTCTATACCACCCATCCCTTACCTCTCTCCCAGGTACGAACCACCCCATACCCCGCCCCCCACCCTGAGCAGGAACTGGCTGAGCAGCCTGTCCAGGTGAATATTTGACTCAGTTCTCACTGTAACGGCTGGTCATGGGAAATCTGTAGTACTAAGGTGGTGGTCTGTCTTATGCATTGGTGTAATGCACGCAGGGCATGTGTTTGGGGATGGAGGGATGTAAAATATTTACATTGACTGATGAACAATTCCTTAAATGTGCTATTTTTCTTCCAGGTACAAGGTTCCAGGACGAACTTGGGAGATGTTCAGCTTCGGGCTCCAGTCCACCCTGTCTTGCATGGTGTTCAGACTCCTCTCTGGGGAAGCGCTGCAGATGCAGAAGCTACCTTACATGCTGAAACTCGAACACTGGCACAAACTCAACCTCTGGTCCCAGCACAACAACAAACACCAGTCCCAGTGTCAGCTCAAGCTGCACCTATACCCCAAACTCCAGCTTCAAAAGTCCCAACTTCATTCCCAATACAGGTTTCAATAGCAGTTCCAGTGCCGGTCTCAGCTCTAGCACCAGTCTCGGCATCAGGTCCTACTTTTGAGCCAAAACTCACATCTACAGGCTCAGACTCATCTTCTGTCATGGGTAAACCGCATCACTCAGTCCCAGGTTTGGTCTTGGCCCCAGTCCCTTTCAACCTGCCAGTCCCAGGTAGAGCTGCAGACCCAGCTTCTGCTCCAGCTTCTGCTCCTGTCGCAGCTTCAGGCTCGGCTCCAGTTCTGCAGCCTGCTGGCATCCAGACGGCAGTGTCACTGCCTGAGTGTGCCAGTCTGGCCACGACTCAGCAAAACCTCGAAACGACATTTGCATCTAGCACCCTTCAACAAGAGTTCAGTGCTGAGGTAGGAATGAAGCCAAACTTTGCACATTTCTGAATGTGATACTGATTTTGAAAAACTGGATAAAAATTGTCTCTGCATCAGTGACGTTTGATTAGAAAGCATGTTAAACACAGTTGCCTCTCCAGTTCACACTTGCATCCTGAGAGCGGCGTTTCCATGAGAGATGAGATAAGCCTTCAAATAATAATAGCACACAGTAACATTAACCCTCTGGAGTTAATCATGCCAGTGTAATCAAATCACATGATGTGTCTTGTGTATTTTTGGGTCCAATATGTCTATATACCATGTCAAAGTGAAAAAATAATTTTCTGGTCATAAAGGCAATGTTGTGCTGAAAAGACAAATATCAAACATTGGCACGGTAAAAGTTTTTTTAAATTGGTGGTATATAAAGGCAAAATCAAAGTCATTAAGACTAGCTGAATTAGTCATGCAATGATAAATTATGTTGAAATAAAAACTTTTTAACTTTTTAAAAACTTTTAGAATTTCTTTTTTTACCTGTTTCCCTCTCCTCAGGATGTGCTTCAGGACAAACCAGTATCTTTACCCAGCTATGCATATGACAGGTGTGTGTCCTCTTCAGATGAACTTTATGTGGTGAAAATGTGTCAAAGACCTGAATATGTGATTAAGTGTTTTCAACTTTTCTATTCTTGTAGTCTCAACTCTGACGTGGCATCTGGTAAAGAAATGAGTGATGGCTATGACAGCTTGGCCAGTGTGGGGAAGGGCGATGGAAAACCCAGGAAACACCACCGCAAGTCTGCCCGAACACGTTCTCGCCAAGAAAAGACCAGCAAACCAAAACTAAGCATGCTCAATGTGAGTCTTTGCGTCATTTCTGACAACTGAAGCTACAGTTTCTTCAAATCTTAACATTGGCTTATCGTAACATTTAACCCCTGCCACCAAAGGTTTGCAACACTGGAGATAAAATGGTGGAATGCCAGCTGGAGACTCACAATCACAAAATGGTGACGTTCAAATTCGATCTGGATGGAGATGCACCGGAGGAGATTGCCACTTACATGGTGAGTTCAGCCTTTTACAGTTTGTAGATTCTGTGTTATCGATTGGTTATATTCGAGATACTGTTTAAAAACTCTTTGCCTGCAGGTGGACAATGGCTTTATCCTACTGTTAGAGAAGGAGATCTTCATTGACCAATTAAAGGACATCGTGGATAAAGCTGAGGACATGCTGAATGAAGATGTAGAGGGTGAAAGAGCGTCAACCTTGAGTTGTAGTCCTCCACATGGCCAGATGTCTGAGGGGTTAGTGGGAGAGGTAAGAGAAGTGTAGCCATAGATATAACTATAGTCTGTACAGATGAAGTACACATGCTTATACATTGACCTGTTATAGTCAATAAATACAGACATGTGTTTATCACTCTGCAGAGTCAGCAGCCTGGAGCTCCTCAGCCTGTCTATCAGCAGAATGGTAACATTTATTCGCAGTGAATCCTTTTACATGTGTCATATTCACTTGTAAGTGCTTTGGGTGGTAATTGTCTCAGACTGCAGTTCTTCACACAGGGAAAAGATGGTTCATAATCTGCCCAGTAGAGGAGACCCCCACATCCAGCCAGGAGACCCCGTCTGATGGCACGGCTACTCAGTCTCCTGGGAGTTCAACCACTACCCAGCCTGCAGACTGCAGTGGCACAGCGAGGCCCTCCAGAGGTGACTTTGTTTCTACAGAGTTTCTGCAGTTTAGTGTCTGACTGCTGCATGGGAAAATGGCACCACCGTGTGGCAGCTGAAGGAAAGATATCTTTCAGCTCTTATTGGTGTTTGATGACTTTGTAATCGATAATTTAATGAATTAATTATTTTCCTCCTGCAGAAGACGGCTCATCTTCTACAATGTCTGGAGGAAGTGGAGGCTTCTCCTATGACGTGTATGGATTCTGTAGTCCCCCAATAATGTCCAACACAGACCCACTTCTTTTAGCCACTCTGTCCCCTCCTGTGTCTGCTCCCCCAACCCTCCAGTCCGTATCATCAGTGGAGCCTGCTGGCAGCTCTGGGCCGCCCAGTGTACATCAGGCCCAGCCAGCCAGGGCTCAGACTGTGCCCCCGACATCCCCACATGCGTCTTTCCCAGTCGATGAGTCTCAAGGATCCCCTCTAGGATCCGTCTCCCCGATCCACTCTGCTCGGCAGATGCCTGACATGATGAGTCCTGTTTCTATAGCTGAGGAGGTGCCCTGCTGCCCTCTTGTCATGCCACTTTCTCTGGATGTGAGTGGTTCACAGGGTGGGTCTCCTCTGACCCTACTTCCTCTCCAGGAGCCAGATTCAGCCAAAGAGCCACTGTCTGTCTCCTACGCCTCAGCGACACGAACCGAGCGACCGCAGCAGCCTGTGGTGCTCCACCAGCCTTATTCCAGCATGGGAGGGACCAAAGTGTCCTCACTCCCCCAGAGCCCAGCACCATCCCAGCATGGTGCGGGGCCCGGTGAGTCAGATGGCGAAGCACGGCTTGGCCGCGGAGGCTTTGTGGACAGCACCATAAAAACGCTAGATGAGAAACTAAGGAACTTGCTGTACCAGGAATATGCCCCCATGTACCCATCAGGCAGTGCTGCAGAGACACCAGGCTCCTGCACTGAGTACATCCAGTCTCCTCCTGGTCCAGACAGCGCCATGGGAGGGTCAGGAAACAGCACGCCAGGGCCGATGGGGGAGGGACGCTACAGGACAGGGGAACAGCTGGTAAGCAAAATAACATTAAAGAAAGCCAGTCAGTTTTTAACAATATAAATATTATCAGAAAATATTGATATTAATAATATTTTCCCCAAATTTTAATTAATGCCAACAATCCTCAATATTACTGAGAAGTGTAATATTGATACTTGCTAAGTGTCGTCCTAGGACAATTCATTGTTTGTATTTGTAATGTTCTCATGTCTCTGCTGCCCTCTCTCCCTGTCACCTCGATTAGCCTCAGATTCCAGAGAGAATGGACAGTTTGAGCACACTGAGTGACTCAGCCGTGTGTGGTATGTACAGCCTGCACTCATCAATGCAACACATTATAACCGGTCATCAACTTTAACTTTTAGATGTTCATCTACTGCAGTGGTACAGTTTTCATTGATTGATGGATTGTGGAACTGTTTGCAGCTTCCTTGTCAAGAAGACACGTTCCTCACTCTGCCTCCTGCTCTGGAGCCAGAGGTCGATTTAAGGTATGAACGGGAGTTTTCTTTCACATTTCAGTGGAAAGTAGATCTGTCTTTTCACTTGCTACTGCAGAAACAGCATGATGCTGTATGAACCCAGTCTGTTCTTTGCTTTTCGCAGATCATTTCTGTTCCTCCTGAGGTGGCAAACAGAAGAGATGTGAAACAGAGGAGCTGGAGCAGCGCTGCTTCGCCGGCACACCCGGTTAGATACAGACAAGACCATGTTCAGGCTGAGGCCATGGTCACCTCCACTACGATCGGCCGCTTCTCTGTGATTAGCACTGAAGACGACATCACACAGAGTACACGCTGCAGCCGCTACTCTGCCCCGCCTGATTTCTACCTAGACACACCTCCTTCCATGGCAAAGCGGAGCTCCCTGCCTCGTGCCCTGACCTCACCCTCCGTCCCTGTGGACGTCACTGTCCATGCTCGCTTCCTCTCCTCAGACTCGGGGGCTGAGAGTAGCCCTGCGAAGCTGGCCCCTGCCACCCCATCTCAGCGGACTCGCTCTGAGCGCAGAGGAAGTGACCTCATGAAGAGGGCGGTGGCCTTCCTCCGTCGCTCAGGGCGCAGCAGCAGTGTGCAGAGCTCAGACTCACCAAGTAGGCATGGAGGTGTGCATGGCTCAGCCTGTGGCAGCAGCGATAATGACTCAGAGATGGATGACTCAGACATGAAGAGGGAACTGCAGAGACTCAGGGAGAAGTAGGGATAGTTGTTTTACTTGCAGCCATATTAAGTGTCTTTACATAAAAATATTCCGTTATTTAGCTTGTAAGTGACCAGTATATTCCTCCCTTTATCTCCTCAGACACCTGAGGGAGATCTCTGAGCTGCAGGCCCATCAGCGGGGAGAGGTGGAACTGCTATATAACCGGCTGGGCAAAGTCCCTCCTCCTGGCCTGGGTCTGTCTCACACTGCACCGCATAACGGCCGGAGAAAGAGATCAGGCAGGCACAAGCTGAAGCCTGGCAAACTTCTCAGCCCTCTGGTCCAACAGTTTAGAAATGTCACAACCAAAAGTAGTGACTCCAGCAGATCTGGTGAGTGTCTTTTCTGAATCTCCAGCGTGCAAAAGAAAGGACTACACCATTCTGATGCTTGTGTGTGCTTTCAGCTGCTGCTGCAGGCGTAGGTGAGCCTACACTGAGTTTAAATGGCTCTCCGGCCAAAGGGTCTTTCCCCTCACACGGCCGGGCACGGTCATGCACGAGCCACATTCCCAACTCGACCTCAGAGCCTGTGCAGACTCAGCAGCCTTGTTCCCTCAAGGGCTCTTTGTCTTCAGATAATATTTACGCTGGACTACACGGAGATGGTACCAGCACACAAGCTCCACCTGCTCAAGGTGATCACTAGCAACACAATCTTTTATCTCAGTAGAGTACACACCTCCGCCAAGGTGCAACACTGCCCTTATGACTTAAATCTGCTAGCACCAAACTTTTTTTGGAGCTTCACCAAATTGTTCAAATATCAGTCCCCCAAATATGAATTATACCCTGGACAGTGGTAAAAATTATACATATTTAAAAATGAGGAAACAATTCTGGATCCACTCCTTTTACCCATGCCAAAATGTAATGGCTTCTTGGTCTATGTCCCATCATTCCCACACGTTTCACTGAAATCTATTCAGTAGTTTTTGTGTAATCTTGCTAATTTACAAACAAAACAAACAAACCAGGGGCAGGGGTAAAAACATAACCTCCTTGGCGAATGTAACAATTACTATCTTGTTAACATCTATATTCACCAGAGAATTAATAACACACACTTTGTCTGTGGTGATTTGTTTTGATAAGGTATAAGATATTTCAATGTGTGCTCGTCTTACCTTAGTGTCTCTCTCCCTCTTTGATTATACTCCTCTACAGGCTGGTCTAATTACCCTCAACCATCTGAGAGAGTCACCTATAAATCCAGTAGCAAGCCACGAGCTAGATTTCTCAGTGGGCCTGTGTCTTTGTCTATCTGTTTGTATCTCTTCTCTTCCTGCATATCTTCACTCGTTTGTCCTCCATATTTTCTATATGTCTTCTTTTAGCTCAGCCATACTTTTCTGTAACACTGCTGGATTCTTTTTTTTGCATTACATGGTCCTCGTCACTTACTATCATCTCGTATTTTCTTATAAAATCCCTGAAGAGAAAAGTTTGTTATTTCAAAAGTTATTTCTCAAATTTGGATGA